TAGATATTACTTTGTAGATACGATATTGTTTAGCTCTCAATCTGTGCGATCTCGCGCGAAATCCTTATATGACTGTGGTGTCGAAGAGTTGCCCTGAACAGCAGGAGAAGACCCAAATTCAGAAGTACGGCAGAGGCCCTGGTGTCGAACCTCCAGGTTTGATCCATCGTACTACGGTTCCCGAATATCACTGTGTTCCCAGCGAATACATAATGCGGCATCAATTCTCTACGAAACGATAGACTAAGGGTGCATACGAGTAACTACGTCCGATAGTGGTATACATTATCCCCACCAAGTCCGTTTCCTCTTTACCCAAGGTATACATCTCCATGCCTCAGGGCGAAAAAGGATAAGTCTCCGCTGCCGGCTTTGATAATGGTATAAAAGTGGAACCTGGTATGCTGGTCAGACAGAAGTGCTCGATCTCGGAGACATTTTGAAGCCTTCACTTCTCTCAGTGATGTACCGACTAGGCCACCGGTAGGCATAGCACGTAACGGCAAACCAGAGCGGGAGGCCGTCGAGGCAGTAGAAGTACACCTCGTGCATGATGAGGTAGCCGGGGTTGCCCTGGGTGAATTCGATAATACGGTAGACGGAACGGATCTGATAGCAGGAAGGAGAGCGCTTAGTTCGAGGGTTGTGCAAGGTACGGAAGGAGGAGGGAGCTTACAATGATGGGGACGGAGGAGAAGTACAGCAGCCAAATGACCTTCCACCACTCCTCTTGGTACCGGGTCCCGACGGGGCTGGCACGGATGTAGCGGATGTGCGCGGTGAAGGCAACGCACAGGAAGAAGGCGTACGAGACACCCTGTCCAATAAGACCGGCGAGTGCGAGGTCATTCCCTCTCTTGTTCGTGCTTGCGGACGTTGACGCCGAGAGAATATTACCGGCAGACTGAAAATACGGGTGCATCCTTCAGCAAGCACACCAGTGACTTACTCCACAAATGCTTACCTGGGCTAAGAATGTCGTGACATCGCTGATAACGAATATCCTCGCAACGCGCTCGGGGCGGATGATCGAGAACTCCCGCCCAAGGCAGCGCACGACGACTCGGCCGTAGAGTGTGTAGTTGAATGCGAGAAACGCAGCGGGTGCACATAGGATAAAGAAGGTCTGGAAAATGTAGAAGCCGACGCTATCATGGACGGCGACTTCGACGAAGCGGACAGCGTAGCCGGCGGCCATGCCTGTATGGTAACAGGGTGAGTAACTGGCTGCGAACGGAGGCAGGTCGGGTACGAACACATGATGCCGATAGGAGACACAGGCCCCACCAGTCGCGGTACCTCCCCACATGCCAGAATATGACGACGCCGACGATCAAGTAGAGAGCCGCGAATATTATAGCGGCCACTTTATTGGGCCAGTAATCTGGAGACGATAGACACGTTCAGCGCCGTCGTCGAGCATAGACAGTAAAGAACATACGAAGAATCCTGTACACGATAGGAACATCAGAAGAATCTGTATCATCTGAACCGAAGTATGTCAGCAAGACCGCCACCGAAGCAATAAGTGAAGTGGCTAACCAGCCAGAGCACGCCCAGCGAGCATAAGCAAGGGAAGGATAATTCTTGTGGGGAGCGTCATGATGAGGGAAACTGCAAGAGAGTCGAGCGCGGTTCTGTTTCGTTATATACCATGCATCCAGTCCATTCCGACGGAGTGAGCAGCGAGAATATATGATTCCGCCGGGATGCAAGATAGTAAACTGTGCAGGCTCCTCGCTCGCGTGCGTTCACCAGCGCATAGTACTCCATTAATATTATTGGCCCATTGCGCATGCTGGTCCATGGGACAACGATGTTGACGAGTTAAATCAATACGCCTTCACTTCCGAATACGGACTGCAGAATACATACACATTCACATCTATCTGTGCCGAGTGCATGCATAAATAAATACCTTATCCCGCCTATCCACAGAAGGTTCCGGCTTGCTTGGTCGACGCATATTCGCCGTTGGCGCGCAGCAGCTAGGGAAAACTGTTTATATTACTGCGCCGGGATGTCACTGTGGGGAACGCGGAAAGTATTTTGCACCGAGCTTGCAGGACGTGAAAGCTGTCAAAAAAACCTGAAGCACCTATAAATTAAACATGGCAAGAGATATAATACATTCTGTGACATCCAGCTGGTCAGCGTGTGCATACCATGGCTGCTGTAAGAGCCACACCGCTGCAGGGAAGGGTCCTCTCGGCATCATCTTGCATGGGATTCGAACCGTCGACACCCGGCGGTCTGTGCTGCGCTGATAGGTAGCCCAACGGCGATATGCTTCTTTTTGGAGACTACTTGTGGCATGGAAACTGCTCCAGCATAGCACGAGTCTCCGTATGGTGAAAGGTGCACGGCAGCGTGGTATGGCAAGAGACTACTGATGCCACCTCTTCGAGGTCATGACTGCTCTGATTTTCTAGGTAACGGGCGGGTTTGAGATCCAGAAGTCTGGTTAATTTTGCGCAGATTTGGGCGGAAGTCGGGAAGCGTACTCGCACTGAGACTGACCATCTTGGGGCGCAGGAAGTTTATGAAATTTCGGAGAACCCCGCTGCATCCGCTTGTTTCAGCGGCTACGGGCTGCGCAGTCGTGGAAGTACATCGATACTCGTGTGGGCAGCCCGCCATAGAGGCAATGAAGGCACAACACAGCTCTGGTCTCAGATTACTCTTACATTATGTTCCGGCGTATGAAGAAATGCAGCATACCAGAATTCTTGCTCAGGCCGCCTCCGGAGATCGCAGAAGAGTGCTTCGAGTGACTCGAAGTCAGCTCGCGGTGCCTCACATGTGCGGCGCTACGGGGGTCATCTTCCGTAGTTGTGAGTTTGATTGCATTTCCTGGTACATTTCCTGGTAAAACGACGGACTTCTGGCAGCATGAGCGCAGGAGGTTACATCGAATCATGACCATGTTGTACCTCTGTCCTCCGCTCTCTCTTCATAGTGGACTAGTACTCATCCCTGGATAAGATGCGTTCCTGCCCCCACTGTATGCGAGAGGACGATAGCTATCCTCAAGGCCCTTCTATGACTGGTAGCGCAGCCAGTCATAGCGCAGCATGAGATGAATCGGCGCTCCTTGCTCATAAACCCTTTGCTCTTTCTCTTCATGCGTTTGTACTTTTCCAGCGTGCCGTGCTTCCTCTCGGAACAGACCTGAGGCGAGTTGGCAAATATCGCGTCACTTGATATTATACTGATGAGTCTCGTAGATGCGGTTCACCTGTTGCATGTCTCTACCTCTGGGCTTGGCAATGGCAATTGCCCCATATCGAATCTCGGAGATGCACCACCGCCTGCAGAAGCTTGTAGCAGGTGACTTCGGTTATACGAAGCGTGCATTCTTCAGTTGTGCTTCTATTTCGCATACCTTGGACATCCATAAACACGGGCCCGACCATTAGCTCCCGGTTGACAGGTTGGTGAAATCAAAGCATATATAAAATCCTGGCTATCGCATCCACTCACCTTACCGACCACAACGCCCACAACCTCGATCGACTGGGTATCCCGCCCTCGACAGCTACTGTCTCCGTCTCCATCCTGCATGCAGCCACTCTCAATTGTCCCTTGGAAGTCCTGCTGCGCCCTATTCTCCGAAGTCACGAGCGCCTCATCTTAGCAGTCTTCACGTTTCTTATTGGCCATGAGAAGAACAGGGAGAAGCGGAAAGTGATGTTCGACCTGGGCGTTAGGAAGAACCCGGAGCGATTTTCTCCCGCGGTGCAAGAATTCCTGGGGCCATTTAGCATACGCATGGAGACGGACGCGGCAACTATGCTTAAGGAGGGTGGGGTAGACCCGGAGACTGTAGATGCGATCATTTGGAGGTATGCATGTACTTCATAATCAAATTGCAGCTATCGGCTGACACTTCGGATACAGACATACGCACTATGATCATACGGGTCAGAAATCTAACGTGTGAGATATAGCATATCACGCTTATCTCCCCCAGGTGACCCGTCGACCTTCCCATCTACAACCGAGGTCGTCATCGGACCTGGCACCAAAGCCGCGTTCTTCCCGCCGTATCAGGAGGGTTCAAATTCGACGATCCTAACCAGCGACTTCGAGTGAGTCTATTCGAAGCCTGCGTCTCTATGTCACTTTCGTCTCGCCCTCACGAATACAAGCTGATATCGGGTAAGAGGCCGAAAAGTCACTGAATTAGGACCAGAGGATTTCCATCTGACAATCGGCGGTCTTGGAGCTTGCTATTACTTCGGGGATGGGAGTTTCTACCTGCTAGACACTCCTGGCGTAAGTACTCCACACACACACGTATCTCACTTGGTACGTACTGACGAACTTGACAAAGCATTGTCCGGGCCACATCACCGCCCTCGCCCGCGTCACGCCCACCACCTTTATTCTCATGGGCGGCGACACCTGCCACCACCCTGGGCAACTGCGACCTAGCCCTTACATCCCCTGCCCATGTTCCCTCCTCGCCAATGTCTCACCCGAACACTTCCCGCACGTCGCCTCTTCCACCGCTCAGAGCATCCCATTATCGACGCCCGTCCTGACCGTCCCTTATACTCCGCCTTCCGCCTATACCGACCCTTCGACTGCTGCCTCCTCCATCGCAAAATTGAGTGCCTTTGACGCGGACCCGGACGTCCTGGTCCTCATCGCGCACGATAGCACTCTCGAGGATGTTGTGAGTTACTTTCCGGAGAAGGCGGATAACTGGAAGGAACAGATGTGGAAAGCGAGAAGGTGGTCATTTCTGGATAAGGAGAGTAAGGCGTGGAGGTTTTCTGTTACTTAGGGGGAAGGGGGTGCAACCACGAGAATGTGTATTCTCGGGGGGGATGGTGACGCGGAAGTCCACCTGTCCTCCTGTGACTCGGAACTTGCTCGGAGGCTCGCCAATATTCTTCTTTCTGCACTTCAGAAAGCTCGGAACGAATTGATTCATGATCACCATGTTTCTTAACGGCTATACTGTTAATTTAATCCATAATCTTCTCTGTCATGGCCGACTAGCTCAGTTGGTTAGAGCGTGGTGCTAATACTTTAATGTTACGCCAAGGTCGTCGGTTCGACCCCGGCGTTGGCCATAATGCAAGTCCGTCTCTTTTTTCTGACATACTAACCTTACCTTATAATTAGGTGCGAATCACACCGCCTTCCACTATTTCGCCTTTTGTTGTCTTTGCCCTCTTTTCGCTATCCTTGACTATAGGACCTTGAGGCGAACCCTCACTTCCGTCTTGTACCCGCAGACTACTAAGTTCTAAGAGGCGTCCGTCAAGATGATCTGACGTTGCATACTTGGTGGTTCATTTGTTCATTTGGGGGGTTGAAGGCGAATATCCTATTGCAAGGCAAAGGTAGAGGTTCATAGCGCCCAGTATAGCTGGCCGTCGGAAGCGATGTAGTACCGACGCGTACTTCCCATGTACGACTGCTCTTTCGTTTTAACAAACAGAACCAACACCGCGCTAACTGACAGGATTCAGAGGTTAACCAGCATCTCGTGGACTTCTACAGGTTGGATGAGGCATACCGTGGTGGCAAGGCACCACTCATGGAGGCGAAGTACTCGCTCGCGATGTCGTCCAGTACAGCTGACCGTCGGAAGCGATGTGGTACCGACGAGTAGTTCCCATGCACGACTGCTCTTTCGGTTTAGCGACCAGGATCAACACCGCGCTAACTGTCAGGATTCATAGGTTAAGCAGCACCTGTGGACGGTTACAGGGTGGACGAGGCATACCGTGGTGACAAGATCGGTCATGAAGGCGAAATACTCGCTTGCGATGTCGTACTGTGGAGCGAGGACCATCATACCATCGGCTGGGATGACTTCCCGACAGTCTCTTGGACGGGCCAGATGCCTGGATGCCTGTAGAATTCCGGGTGAAAGAAGAGGTCTGGTGAATATAAATACGAACGTTGCACGGTAGTTTCATCAGACAAATCTTTCCCCTCAACGAGCAGACCGTTCCCGCTTAAGCAGATATCACCTCGAAATGTCTCCATCTGGAAACAAGGTATGCCTAACCTTGACCACTACATGTAGCAGCTCTTCTGATAGCAGCAATCACCACCAGTTCGTTAGCCCAGGCTACATCTATATCCGCAACCAGTCAGGCGACACCACGTACGCTTTCGTCACCAAGCTCAGTGGCGACGGGAACGACAACTGGTTTACTGTCCCGGCATCATTCGACGAGAACTCCTTGTGGAAGAGAGCGAGCTCAGGTTGGGAGCTGATCGCCTTCAAAGACGATGATGATCGACGGGTCGGCTTCTACGTCGAGGTCAAAAAGGTGACGACCTATGTCACCTTCCACTCCTTCGACAATGTGGAGATAGACCGTGTAGGCGCATGATCGATATCTGGACGGGCGTTGGATAGTCAACTTGTGATGGTGGAAGCAAGTGGGAACACATACCTACACCTGATATGTAACGCAATACTGGCTGGTTAGCGTACAGATGTTGACTGTCACGACTGTATTACCGCAAGAGATTTCCGCGTATGCTGTCATCGCCAGCAAGCAACGACGACACCTATCCTACTTTTCAGCAGGCATGCCACGGAAGGAGACGACATAGATTTGAATGGGGCATGAGACAGGGATTCTGAAGCGTGTGGCTCGCGCAGGTTGAATATTCCGAGACGCTGGGCAGCAGGTATGTACATCATTCATAAGTGTCTCTTGCCAATAGCAGAGTAAGACGGAATTCACCGAAGATCTGCTGGCTCAGGCAGCGCGTTCTGACGACACAACCAGTGTCCTGACGAGAGCAACCGCAGTCGTAACGGTCTGCTTTGAAAGTACAGTCGGGTATGTGGGATTGTCAGTGGAAAACCTGTATCGTCATCTCTCCACAATATCAAAGTACAGCACTTTACCACTGTGAACTAGCTCTCAATCCCACCATGCACGACAGCACCGCAACTGGAATCCAGAATCGTGGTATAAATGCCTGACCTTGCTAAATACATCCGTATATCACTGGTTCCTCTATTTGGTTTATTCATCCAAGAGCGCCTGCGCAGCCTTCCTCGCATTCGCCCTGATCGACTCGACCTGCAACTCAAGGTTCCTGATCTTCTCGCGAGCCTCACGCAGCTCGGACTCCAGCCGCGCATTTTCGTCTTCGAGGGCACCGGTATCGGCGGACTGTAGAGAAGAGTTGATTAATTTGAGGCATGATAACTAAGTACTTTGTACACTTACTTGGGACTGGGTGCGTGACGGCGTAACAGCAACCGGCTGAGGCTCAGGAGCCTTGGTGATCACAGGGCTGGGGGGCTTGGCAGCTACAGGGCTGGGTGGAGAAATGGGTGCAGGCGCAGGCGCGGAAGCCGTCTTCGTTGGCGTGGGCGCAGCCGCTGGGGTGGAAAGCGAAGATGCGCTCTGCGAACTCGTAGTCGTCGATCCATTCTCAAGGTTGACCAGCTTTGGCGGGGCAGTCTTGCCTGAGAAGAACTCGGCGGCGCTCAGCGTCGGCTCGGAGGAAGGTGCGGGAGGGAAGATGTCGGATTGGAAAGAGTCGGACTGAGATAAGGGGCAGTAAATGTGTGAGTTAGAATATATCCCGTTTCCAGCGTAGGTGCGCTTACCTTGCGGGGAACGATGAAGGCTATAGGCTCGATATACGATCCGCTGATCTTGTAGGCGCGTGCGATCTCACAGTCGAAGACATTCAAAGCACGGCGCGGGAGGAAACACATGCCGCGCTGAGGCTCGTTCGATTTGTGCTCTGCGAGAGGGAACAATTGCTCGGATTCCCACTCATAGTATCGGATGTTGCCGTCACTGCAAGGAAGCTTAATGTGGGGTGATGGAGGCTAGGCGGCGGCGGAACTTACCCCTTGCCAGCTAGAGATCCGCATCATCAGGACAGGTGCTTGTCATATTGATTAGGACGCACCAAGGAAGAGAATGTTATTGTCACTCCAGAAGGGCATCATAATACCAGACGATTGATCGATGGTGATCGTCTTGATGTTGCCAAGCCCGCCAGTCTCCCAGACACTGAGCTGACGGTCACTCATCCTGCTGAAGCCCGTGGTGGCAATGTTGTTGTTCTCGCCCATCCAGACCACCCGCGCACCCTTGATACCACCGTGCCCATCTGTCACCCTGACCGCCTCGTTGCCCGCCCGCGCATCAAACATCCTAAGTTTCCTATCTCTGCTCGTCGTCACCAACACCGTCCCAGCGGGGTTGAACGCCATGCTCTGGATGCTGTCCCCGTGACCCGTGAGCACCGATTTCGCGCTCTCGGGATTCGCCAGGTCCCAGAGCTTCACAGTGTGCTCTCCCGACGCAGTCGCCAGCACGTTATCAGCAGTCGGGTGGAACAGGACCTGCCCGATCTTGCGAGGGGACACGTCGATGCGGAGAACGGGATCGAAGTCACGCGGCTCCCAGCCTTCTTCTCCCCAGCCCTCGAACGAGGACGGCTCGACTTTCCAGATCATGGCCTTGCCATCTTCACCTGCGGATGCGACGATGGCGTCGTTGTGCGGAGACCAGTCAGTGTCGAGGACGGGCGCGGTGTGGCTGCGGGCAAGGGGAATGATGTCCGGAAGCTTGTAGGGAAGGTTGCTCGTCGCATGGAATGGAGACGGGAGAGGCAGAATGGCAAATGCTCCTCCGCCTGAGGCGTTCCAGTTTATGCTGATGTACCGCTGTGGCAGCAAGGTTATGATCCAGCATACGACGAACAATTGGAATGCTTACCCCTGATGCAGCGATCAAGTTAGTGTCCCAGGCACTGTTGGACACTTTGACATTCTCGATGCCATACTCTTTCTTCCCTGTCTGTCCGAAGACGTGTCTGATAGAGTGTTAGAATCGTGACACGTTGTAGCCATTGAGGTTGAATATACTCACCGATACTTCGAAGGGCGTACGAAACGAGACATAACTCAAGCTATAATTCAATACTAATCCCTTCACCTGTTCCTCAAGCTCTCCTGCGATCGAACCCGCTGCGAAAGCCTAGCACCAGTCGGTAGAGTTGAATAGTATGTAGCAACAGCGCAACAAATCGAAGTCAAGCCACGATAATCGGAGTTTGAAATAGTATAATGTTCACTACAAGTCTGTTTGTAGTGTCACTACTGAGCATTAAGAATGAGATTATAAGTCTGGAGTCGTTTAGAAAGGAGACTACAAAACTCTGACCGTTGCGCGCTTAGCCCCTTTACGTCTGATAACGCGGGTCCAAGGCGGGTCGCCGTAATTACCATGTAAATACGCGCGGATTGCGTTCCACTGCTATATATGATCTAGGCTGTGAGTGCCTTTTTCACCCGTAACGTATTCTTCACGTTCCCGCGACGGCTTTGAAGGTATCTGTCTTGCTGGAGTCTGACCATGATACGGACGCTGCGACAGCCCGGCCTCAGTTCGCATATTCTCCGCGCAAGCAGGCCGAGATGCTCTATTCTCATGCCGAGGAGAGGGTATGCAGTGAGCGGGGAGGTGAGTACATTTCGTGGTATGTTGGTAGACACAATGCTGAAGACGGACGTAGTTGAAGAAGACAGGCTTGTATGACTTCCATGTCCAGAATGGCGCAAAGATGGTTCCCTTCGCCGGCTATTCTATGCCTCTGCAGTATGGTGAAGTGGGCCAAGGTGTGCAGCTCTACCATATCTCTATCGAAACCTGCTAATGGTTGGTATCGTTAGTGGCAGCTCATAACCACGTTCGCTCAAGCGTCGGCCTCTTCGACGTAGGCCACATGGTTCAGAGCATATTCCGCGGAGCCACAACCACCCAATTTCTTGAATGGCTCACCCCCTCCTCCCTCTCCTCCCTTACGCCTTACTCGTCTACACTCTCCGTCCTCCTCAATGAGCAGGGCGGCATCATCGATGACACTGTCATCACCAAACACGCTGGAGACTCCTTCTATGTCGTGACGAACGCCGGGAGGCGCGACAGGGATCTGGCTTGGTTCAGGGAGAAGGTTGAGGAATGGAATGCAAGTGAACGGAGTGAATCTGGTAAGGTAGAGCTGGAAGTGCTCGAGGGCTGGGGATTGTTGGCTTTGCAAGGTTCTTCTTCTGTCCGCTGAATCTGGTGGA